AGTCTAGACTCTAAAAACATTGTTTCTAAAGATTACACAACGTTCTGTTAAATTGTTCTACCTTAATTTAAGTTATATATCAACTTTGGACATTTAGTTTGTTTCTGATTGTGTGCTACTGTAAATGTAGTGGATACCTTTGCACACGGAAGTATTTTCACCCGAGACACTCTCCCATCGGAAAGGTTATTACAAAGTGAGAGGGAATTTGTTCTGAATGGCTTTCTAAAAGCCTCTACCGGTTTACATTGCTACTGATGGCACAGAACTAACTATGTCTTTTTTCAACCTGGTTAATTGTGGGATTTATCATTCTTATTTTTTTGGCGAATAGACTCCTTCAGATTTAATAGGTCTTCAGATTTGCATTCCTTTGATCCCTCTCAAGGATAGAACATTTCTGTCTCTGTTTATTTACTAATTGTCCTTTTCACAATTAGCAAATGAGAGTTTTGATGTTTGTAATCTATGTATATAAGCTCTTTATGTGTTCTAGATATTCATCATTTTTTAAAGTATATTTGCTGCAGATATTTCCCCAGTCCATTTTTCTTTCATTTCAGCAATACTTTCTGCTGTAACAAAGTTCAAGGCTATATATAAAATCTGTTTCCTGGGGTTCTCTGTTCTCTATCGCTGGTCTCTGTGTTGTGCAGGGAGCCCTGCCTGGTGGGTGGAAGTGGGTTCGCAGGTTTGAATTCTGTTCCACATCGGAACTACAGGCAGGATGCTTTGCCTCCCTCCCTGGTGTAGCTCTTCCCTGGCGACGGCTCCTTGGCAGGGCATTCGGAGTACTTCTCTGGGTCTTGCTTGAGTTTGGGGTAAATCTGGTTTCAAGCTCTGAATTTGGCTAGGGGCTTGGCCGGGCTGGGTGGCTTGGCATGGGACAAACCTCCTGAGGGGCCTCTCAACATTACCTCTTGTTCGAGTCCGATGGCTTCTTTTCTCTGAAGCCAAAATGAACCGCTCTGAGTACAAAACATCTGTTTATATCTCTGTCCTCCCTGCAGGGCCCTCAGGTTGTGAATCCTTATCCTGGCTCCCCTGGATTTGGGGACAGAGCTCATCATACCAGGCTTGTCACTCATGTTTGCTCCACCCCACTCCTTGAGTATTTCCTCCATAAAAGGGCCAGATTCTCCTGTGTCTCACCTTTTAGTCTCGCCGTGTCCCCTTTCTTAAGAATCAAGCTCCTCCTCCTCTTTTTGGCTAACTTTCTCCTCTTCTTAAAATGTCACCTTGGAATCCTTTGCCCTAGGTTATTTTCAGCCTATTGTAGATGCCCTTGTTCTGCCCCTTTTGTAGCACTCTATCAACCCTTTTCTTAGCCCAGGGATGCTAGGTCTCTTCCTGCCGCCCATTCTCAGCATTTGGCTTTCAGTAAGCCCACAAGGGTAACATGCACTTCCCCTGCAGCATACGCTTGGGTTACAGACTGGCTGTGACCCTATTTAGTAATATGGAGCCTAGCTTATATAACTGTAACCACTGTGGCATCTAGTGTAGGAACAAGCAATGACAGCTGTTTGAGTGGCTTTGTGTACCGTGACAGTTGGTGATGAAAGAGATAAAAATGTGTGAGAAGGCTGTGCTAAGGAGAAAGGATAAAGAAAGGTCCTATGAGGAATTTTCTGGAACAAAAGCACTCTGTGATAAGATGTTGGATTTGCTTAGCTCTAAGTTTTATAGTACTACACATAAAGCCATATCAACTATATGACTATTGAAGTTCAGTACATGAAAAATGACTTTATTTTTGAATGTCTAAAACTGTCTGTTGAAAAAAATTCATGTCGAATTTGAGTGCACGATGATTCTTAGAAGCACAGCTCTTATGTTGGACGAATAAAGGAATTTGAGGTTCAGGTGTGCATTTTCTGCCCTCTGGCCTTACGTGCTCTGGGGACCCCACTTACCAACTCAGGTCAAAGTTCCTGGTGAGAAAATTACTGGGAGGAGGTAATTTTGTCTGGAAGAGAGTCATTCTGGGGTCCTGGGTTGCTCAGGTTTGGGTAAACCACCACATGGGAGGGGAGCCTTGTCATGGGGATGGGGGACCCTGAAATCTCCCTTGCATAGCCCTGCCCAACAGGCATGAAGCTATGGGGCAGGAGGATTTCTGAGCCCCCAGAGCTGATGGCCACTCACACCTCTGTCTTGCATAGATAGGAGTTTGTTAAAAAGTTAGCCCGGGGTGGCTGGGGAAGATGCCTTTGGAAAATAAAGGGGGTCCTGTGATGGCTACTGTGAGAGTCCATATGTCAGAGGCTCTGACAAGTGTGCAGATGGGAGAAACCCACATTTAGAAACTGAGATCCTGGTCCCCTTGTCCCTACAGCACACGGGAAAGTGCCCAAAAGCCTTTCTCCCTTGCCCTGTTCTGGCAGGCTGCAAACCGGGCCGAAAAGTACCCTGGATGAATTTGACTTTGATGACTCTTCCCTTTTTCTGGGCTGAATCTCCAGTTCATCCCAGAGCCTCCTAGGTCACCATGCAATGTGACCCCAGGTGGTGGGTGGTCCTTTTGGGGTCAAATCCTTTATATAAGAAGCTGGGAAAAAAAATCTCTTTCCCTGGCTGCTGCCTCTCTGGTTTCTGATCTGATACTTTTGAGAAGATAGCAGTTTGGTTTGGTTTATCTTCTTCTTTTATAAGTGGTCATGGGTCTATAAGATGAGTTTATCAGTTACTGTATTGATAGGAGCAAAGGTGAACCAGTTATTTGTTTAAAATCTCTTTTCCTAAAACTTTGCTTTTTCTTTGGAATTTGAAGGAAATATGGTGAAAGCATCTAGGTCCAAATTTTGGTGCTTTATTTTGACTTTTCTGTTCTCTTTAAGCCTCTGTAACCCTTTGCAGTTTTCTGTACTCTTTAGAAGGAATAGGTTGTATTTTTTTTTCCATTTCAGCATCATCCAGAGCAGTACTATTTTAACAAGATGAATAAACAGATATAATAGTAGGAAGATACTTTTTCTTTCCTTCCAGCAAGCTGCAGATCTCTCTCATTCCTTCCAGAGATTAGCATGGGTGAACCTTTGCAGAAAGCAACATTGAAACCAGGGAGGAGGATCACAATTTAGGGACTTCACAAGATGCTATCTCAAAAACAAAACGAAGGAAAAGGACTACAAACAAAACTGAGCTGGGTGGTCCAGGATTTAGCTCAGTTTTTCTGCCTGCTGCTGCCCCAGGTGCCTTGCAAGTGCAAGGTCCTGAGTTCATCCCTGGTACCAAAACAAAAACAAAACAACAGCAACAACAACAACAACAACAACCACCATAAAAAAACCAACAACAAAACTGAGCTGGGGATATAGCTCTGTGTGAAGGCCCTGGGTTCTATGACCAGGACTGGGAAGGAGGAGGAGTTGTTGAAATTGTTTCTGAATGTGACCTTGAAACATGAGTCTCACCAGCAGCTTATGAGCCTTCTCCAGACAAAACACTGGAATTGTCTGGAAGCCCTGAGGGGAGGGCTGTTAGTCTGTGGATTTGAACAAACCCAATGCTAACTGTTTGCTGTCTTCCTGGGCAGAGAACTTTTGGTGACCTGACTAATCTCAAAGTTAGTATCTCTAAGTGGTGCACTTTATTTAACCCATTGCCTTGAAGTCTCAGGAAATGATTCCCCTTAAAAAAAAAAAAAATTTAACTTACCCATTTCAGATGTCCATGGTCTTTGAGATGCAAGTCCTCTTTTGCCATTTCTTTTGTAGGGCTAATCACATCTCCCATGTCCCTTGATTGCATTTTACAGGCTGAGCCTCTGATTTGGTAACTATAGCCTTAACAGCCTAAATCTCTAAAGGAGAGAGCAGAACCTAAGTAAGGATTCTGAGACTGCTGGACTAGGTTCCAGTGGCCAGGTGGTCAGTGTTAGAGCCCTGATTTTCTGACTCGCAGCTCGTCTCCCTTCTGCATCCCCTGTAGAGCCAACAACCCCAGGCCTCATGCAGTTGTGTCTCTAAATTCACAAAACAAAAAAGACGTGTCTTTGCTTTATGGAGTTGGCCCCATAGAGCGATTTTGAGATGGAGCTGGAAAGATGAAGAACTGCAAGAGTCCAGCTCCTCAAATATAAGCAATCCTTAGTTACCTGCTTGCGATACTTCATAAATAAAACTAGGTGTTACATGCTTCTGGAGTGTTTAAGCCTAAACGTGATGGCTTGGTGAAGGAAAGTGGTTTCCTTTTGCAGCTACTGCACCTTTAAAGTTCAGCTTTGTAGAGCTGTAGTTCTTTACTGTACCCATGTCAGCAAGGTTAAAAACTTCAGGAAACCAAACTGATCTTGTATATGGAATCCTGAAATCTGATGCCGTCCCCTCTGAGAAGCCCTTTGGTATGTGGATGGGAAGATGCAGTCACATCAATTTCCATCTCTAGGTCCTTCCTGCCTTTCTTCTGGGTGTTACAGAACTAGGGAGGGGAAGCTCATCCAGCTGCCTGTGAATCAGCTTCTGCCTGCTGGGCTGGTGAGAGCCACGCAAGACTTTTTTCTCTGCAAAGAACACATGTTGATTCTATGATAATTAAGTATCTACTGTCCTACAGCATCCAGTGTTTCATCTCTTAGTGAAAACATTCTCCGTCTCTTGATGCCACAGCCTGTACACTAAGTGTTTTGAAGCCTCTTCTTTCCTTTCAAAAGTAATCTGGTAGCAGGAGACCGTGCTGTTATTGCAGAAATACTTAGAATCTGCTCCACTTTTAATCATGACTGAAGCCTTATAACCAAAAGCCTCCATATTGGGACCGCGGATGACTCAAAGGTGGTCTTCCCCTTAGATGTCCCCCTTCAATTTCTTCACAGGTTTTTTTTTTTTTTTTTGATCCCAGGGATCGAACTCAGGACCTCGCGTTTGCCTGCCAGGCACTGTTCCGCTGAGCTACATCCCGGCCCTCTTCACAGCTTTGTCTCCAGGATTCGAGGAGAAACAGCCTGGCGGGGAGTTTTGCTTGGTGTTGGAGTAGCTAAGAATGTTTCTCTCTAACAGGTCACAGAACAGAAAGTGCTGGCGGACATCTCTTCTTGCCCCAGGATCTTCGTTGGAAGTCCTCCAGACTTGGTGTCTTAATGAACTTGCCAGGAGGCATAATGTGTCACCATTTTATTGTGGGCCACCCTAAAGGATGACACCCAGCTTCGAATACCTCCTGTTGGACGTCGTCCCCTGAGAGCCAGTGCTTTAACTCTCTCCCATTGTCCCGAGCCTGTTTCCAACTGGTTTTGAGCTGGTGCAGGCTTAGTCATTCGTGGCCCGGACCTGGTTGAATGTTCTGCCTGATCAGTTTGTAGCCACTCACCTTTTGTCACTTGCTGAACAGCACTTCCTTCTCGGGCTCTCGGGGAGTCTTTGCACCGACCCGCTAGAAACAAGGCACCAATCCATTCTTTCCATCTTGGCGGCTGCCCACAGCCATATCCCGGGGTGACCTGGAGTAGAACAGTGGAGGATAAATTAATTCATCCTGCACAGACTTGTTTCTGCTAGTTCTAGCCTGTCTCTCGCCCCAGCTCCAGCTTTTAAATATGCCAGTGATTGGTTTTGTGTAGGAATGTGTGGATTGTTGGATTGGAAGAATTCTCTCCCTGGATTTCTAGTGTTTACATAAGCAGATATTTAAAAAATGTTCTATCCCTGATTTAAATAGCAGGGCTTATTTTTTAAAAAAAAGTTATGGGCGCCTGAAGGCATACAGAATAAAAGCATAAGTTTTGGTTTTTCTTTCTTCCAAGTTGTAACGAAACCAAAAGGTGTATAGTAATGTTTTGTCAGTAAAGGGTCAAAACAGAAAGTTTGCAACAGTGACAAACTAGAAAAGAACAAGTGTGAAGAGAGGCTGACAAATATATGCCCCTTGTTGGGAGTTTAGCCCATGGAATGTTATGTAGGACAAAAGGAATGGAAGAGATATTTCAGTAACATTTTGTTCTCTGTCAAAAACCTTCTGAAATATAAATCTGCTGTGTATTGGAGAACGGAGACAGCAATTGATTGGAGTTGAATGGCTTTCCTTTAAGTAGAGTATCCCACAGAAAGCAGTTCTTGTTCTGACAACCATATTTTTCGCTTTCTTTGTCCTAGCAAAAATTGGATTCCTATGTACATATCTTGTAGGATTGTTTTATGGACAAAGATATAGGTCAAATCCCTTCACAGTGGCTAGTGTTATGGCAAATAGAAATATTTCTAAATGAAGCACAAACATTTCTAAGCCACAGCCTGGGTGTGCAGTAATAATGCTAAGTTGGTAATATGAAGCCATTTGCAACTATAAATAATTCAGTTGTAGATGTGCTTTAAAAAAAAACTGTTTTATTTTAATTCTAGTCTCTTGCCGACACACACACCCATACATGTAGCTCACCTATTTGTGTAGTAGAGGAGAAATAGGAATATATATATATATACATACATACATACATATATAGTGATAGAAGTCAACTTTATTTTGGTCTGTCTGGAACAGATTACCTTTTTCTCCTCATGCTGGCTTCTGTAATTGCCTCCAACTGCTAAACTTGGGTAATTACCCACAAATATGAATGTATCTTTCTAGGGGTCTTGCCACATCAACCAACCCAGCCGAAAGCTAGTAGTGAGGGTTAGTGGTGTAAGGAGCTAAGCTTCAAAAGTAAGGGTCCCTGGGCTGGGGATTTAGCTTAGTGGTGCTGCCACCTGCCTAGCAAGTGGGAGATCCTGAGTTCGATCTCAGTACCCGCCCCCCAAAAAAAGGAAAAAAAAAAAAGGGTCCCTTGCAAGGGATGCTCTGATTTGATTCTCCATTGTGCACCCCCACAGGAGGAAGGAGATGCTTTTTTTTTTTTTTTTTTGGTTTTAAATCCCTCGATCAAAGCAAGGCATGGTCATACCAGAGTTCAAGGCAGCCTGGGCAATTTAGTGAGACCCTGTCTTTAAAAATGGAGAGGGTGGACATAAAGTGTAATGCTCCCTGTGTTCAATCCTCAGTACTGCAAGCAAATAGACAGACAGACAGACAGATAAAAAGATCATTCATTCTGGCATTGATCCTGGCCTCAGAGTCCAGAATCAATGAGTTCAGTCGTAATTTTTAGCATTAACTATTTTTTGAATTAGCAAACCTTGCTTTATTTTTATGCCTATGAGAGGACAACAGTTTCTTTTTCTTTTTATTAATTCATGTTAATTGTACACATTCATGGGTTTCTCTTGGGCATTTCTACTCATGCATATATCTTGCCTTGCTCATGCCCACCTTCCCTTCTCCCCGCTCCCCTCCCCAGGAGCTGGAGGACATCATGTTAAACAGAGTAAGCCGGACACAGGAAGACATGCATCAGGTGTTTTCTTTCATATATGGAAACTATGGAAAAAGATCTGAAAGTAGGAAGGGAAGTATTAGGGAGTAGGAAGCATTAACTCCTGAAATATTTTGGCTCTCTGTACATTATGATTCAGTTCACTCTGAGGTTCCGCAGATACTTTAAGGCTAAAATACAGAATATCCTTTTTTTTTTTTTTTTTTTTTTTTAATGTGAGGGTCTTTAACTATGTTGCTCTGTCTAGTTTAAGATTCCTGGGATCAAGTGATCCTCCTGTTTCAGCCTCATAAGCAACTGGGAGTACAGCTGCAAGCCCTCATACCTGCCTTATAGATATAGTTAGCTTAAAGTTACAAGGTTGACAATCAAGAGAAAGCTCTTCTAGGAATAAAGGCCCCTTAAGTTTTAACCTTCTCCTACCTTCAAAGTTCTTGTCTGCCTGCCTGATCTTTTATTTCCTCTCTGTTTATACTAATTTGTACTTGTGTTTATTGTTTTCGTATTAAAAAACTACTTGAAAAGAATTCACAGCCCTTATAAATAAGAGAGTTTCAACCTATTCATCCTTCTTACCTTGGCTGTCTTTTCTTGTTGCCTGGCCACTTCTTCCCTCTCCTCTTCTCTTCTGGGATTTCATTGCTCAGCATTTCCAGTGTGTGATTCTGGATATGATGGTTTTGAGCTTCCGGACCAACGTCTCTTTGCAGCTGAGTCCATTTCCTGAGTTCAGAGCTGTTGGCATATTCCAATCACCACACCTACTGAAAACTGAAACTTGTTGCCCCCAGATCAGGCCTTAAACACCATTCATTTCTTCCTCTCTATTTCTCAATCTACTGCTGTTTCCTAGTGATGAAAATCTGCTTGTCACTAAGAACTTCATTTTGATGTCACTTACTAAAGACCTCTTGGATTTTTCTATCCTCTTGATATGTTTCACTTCTTCACGCTACAACGACCATCAACAAGTCTTTGACAAATTAGCTGTCCCTACATGTGGTTTACAATATTAGACTTGCTGTTTAAAAATAATTAAGCTTCTCTCTGTGTTTTTTTGCTGTGGGTCAAGAACTTTGCTTGCTTTGACTTCCAACACAGAAGTTAATCACAAACGGGTCCTCTTAACCATATAATTAAAAATAGAGCAAAGTTTCTGAACCTAGGCAGTTGGCACAAAAGTCCTCACTTCCATCTGTGCATGGTTAGGAAAATATTTCATGATATTTAAATAGCATTAGCTTTGCTCTCTTGTGTGAGTATGTCTGTGAGTTTGTGTGTAATTCATTGCTCTGGAGGTTTATTTGAGTGTTAGCAAATCTTTTTTTTTAAGTCATTGGCAAGGAAACAGGAAAGCAAATCCAGGTGTTTTGGGCCTGCTTTCTTTATTTGCTAGCTTCTGTGAAGGAACACTGGTCGGCTCTTGCTTTTCTCTTTGACTCAAAGTTTTCCTTCTACGTGTGGCTCAGAAAATGAAAGAGCATACATTTTGATTTTCAAATCTTTGTGTCTTTTGATTTATCACATACAAGTCACCTTTGATGAAGTTTTTTTAGCAGCTGTTCTTATAGATACAAAGTGCTGATAAATCTGTTTCAACTTGGAATGTGGCAGATTAGGATTTTTGCTCTCTGCTTTTTGTTGTCACTTTTTTTTTTTGGTACCAGGGATCGAACTCAGGACCTTGCGCTTGTGAGGCAGATGGCAGCACCACTGAGCTAAATCCCTGGCCAGAGTTTTTGCTCTCTGGAAAGGGGACTAATGCCTAGAATATGCAGCAGACTCATAAACACTTTGTGACTTAAATACATACACGCGAGAGACTGGATTGGAGAGGAATTTAATCCTTCAACTTGGACTGTCCTTTGTTCTTATAGGTAATCAGTATCTCCTAAAATATATTCACTAGTTCTGTAGCTCTGATAGGATTTTAAAATGCATTGTCTGTTTACAAGGTTTAAATTGCTAAATAATATAAAGGTTATACCTTTCTGGTTTTTTTCTGTTGCAGTGATCTCTTTATTCCTGGAAAACTCTTTATTTTAAGGCTGGTTTCTTTTTCCCAGGAGAGTTGTATTAAATAACACTAATGCCTAGTAAATATACTGAAGATTAGGAATTATTTTTCAAATATGTCTTTCATACCTCCAGCTCTGAGTGTGTGTGTGTGTGTATATATATATATATATATATTTCTCAGAGTTGTCCACTTTCTTATGTTTCTAGAAATGCGAGGTAGGCAGATCCCTAATACTATGATAATAGAATTACCACTGAAATCAAAAGCAGAGGATTGATCATGCTTGTGTTAACTAAAATTAAAAAAGGAGAAGTAGTTTCAGTCAATTTCATCGACAGTGGTGAATTCTTGTGTTTAGCTCTCCATGCTGGTTTGATTATTTAGGCAGTTTGTCATTCATGAAGTTTAAAATCAGAAGGGTCCAACTCTCTCATGTTACGTTCCAGTTAATTCTGTTCAGTTCTATGTACAAGGCAGTGGGCTAGGAGGGAGCAATGAAGTTGATTTAAGTTTGACTCATGGTTTTTGACAAATTAATCTTTGATTTCCTTTTCTGTATTATTCAAGGGACAACTTTGAACAAGGCATAAGTGAATTTTGCTAGTTGTTATTCTTGGTCAGTGCAGGAAATTAGGAATGAATGTATTTTGTGAGCTCCGGTGAATGAAAGATGTCTTTATACTTCAGGGTCCTGCTGAACCAGAGACCACCCTGAGACTGAATTCTGGTCTTCTCTTCTGCACGACAACCAGCACTGCTGATACTAAAGAGACTCCCCCAAAATGTGCCTGACATTGAAGTTCTTCACACTTTTATTATGGAACCCTTATACTGTCTCTTCCATTCATTTGGGCTCCTCTGATACTGACATTGGGAATTTCACTTAGCAGAGCCAAATTTCGTGATTGATATACATTCCCACAAATCAGTGTTAGTGAATATTATTTACTAGATTTGTGATTGAAAATAACACATACAGTGTACACACCCAGGAATGGTCATAGTGCAGAGAAGTTGGTCTCTTAATAAGAATGCTACCCGGCTGACATGCTGGGGAGTAAAGATGTATCAGTCACTAGGTATCATTACCTAATCTTCACTGTTAACCAGACAGGTACTTGTTATCTCCAGCTCAAAGATAAATAACTGGGTTAGTAGTCCTGCTCAGGGTCACAGAGCTGATAGGATAGAGATTTGACTCCTGCCATTTTAACCCCAGCCCCTCGGCTCCCAATGAATATAAAGTTGGTTGCTTACCTCCTGGTGCCATGGTGAGATTTGCAAAATTATTTTCAGAAACTATTTTTTATTAAATACTGTGTATATTCAAAAGCCTATTCACAAAATACATATTTCAAAGAATGAGGATTCAGTGAACACCCATTTCATTCTCCACTCAGGTTTTTAAAGTACCACAATCGTGATGTCCCCTGTGGACTTCCCTAATCTTGTCACTTTCTTTTTTCTCACCATCGAACTAGTACTGTAGAAAAAAAAAGAATGACATTTTAAAATATTTTAAACCAAAGTATTCAAAAGCACTCTGTCAGATCACTCTCTTTTCCCACCGGTTTTTCTGCTGTCTTCTCCCTGCCCGTTCTTTGCTCTGACCTCTTCCCTCTTTTCTGTCCCTGTTGTGGTGACAGAGAAGAACCTGGTCAGACCTGCTGTAGGATGTCAGGGAAGGGGAATGGGCCGCCGGAGCCTGTGCTGGGCAGTCTCAGTGAGGTAACAGGATTTTTGCTTCCTTCAACCAACACATCCTTTTCCAATAAGGTGTGCCATTGAGGGATCGTAACTGACCAAAGGAAAGGAGTGATTCAGTCCAACTGTGCTGACAGGGCTCTCCCAAGCTTACCAGGTTAGGAGTCATTGTCATTAACCCTGTGGACATGTAGCCTTCAATAGTGTGACTTAAACCAGGGATTTGTCTCAAAGGTTCTGCCGCCTGCCTTGCAAGCGCAAGGGCCTGAGTTCGATCCCCTGTACCCCCACAAAGTGTGATTTAAAATATTGCTACATTTTTCATAACCTATGCGAAGGCAGTCATAACACACTGAAAAACCATTGGATGGAACATGATAACGTATCCTTGTTGTCCCTTAATAGTGTAATACAGTTTTTAAGCAAGTAGTAATAGCTGGTCGTGTGTACAAAAATCAAGATGGCAGGAATACTAGAATTCTTTCCATCAGTTGGGAAAATACATTCAAATAATTTACTCCAACTTTTTACGAATTAAAACAATTTGGTTGCACATTGAACTCTGTTGTGTAAGTTTTTCTGAGGACTGTGGTTCAATAGGAGGAGGTTCCAATTTAATGCAGTCTTAGCTGTTTGAGACTTAGTACTATGCTGTTTAAATTACTTCCATAATCTTGCAAAAATATAATTAATTTACAAAGATGAAGAAGAACCACGTCTAACTAAATATAAAAGTGCTTATAAATTTGGGGCAGTGGTGCACGCCTGTAATCCCAGCACTCTGGGAGCCTGAGACAGGAGGATCCCAAGCTCATCACAGTCTGAGCAATTTAGTGAGACCCTGTGTCAAAGCTAAAAAATAAAAATAAGTAAAAATAGAGTGGGGGACAGGATGCGGTTCAGTGTGAAGGCTCCAATTTCAAACCATAGTATGGTTAAAAAAAAACTTATAAAGTCTTTTGTGTATAAATGTATAGTCATTTGCATAATCACATTTACATATGTATGTTATAGCTATGTGTATTTGTATGTGTAAATATAATATGCACTCTTTATAGAACTGATGTTGGAGCCAGCCATATGATTTGGAGTTTTATCAAATGGAGTGAAACTTTCAATGATTATGATTTGGCCTGTAAAAATAGGAATAATGAGATCAAAGTGTACCTGTCTACTTTTATCTCCTATCGCTGCTTTTTTTGCTTAGAAACAAATTTATGTTGAAATAATATACCTGTGAACCTCAAATATGAGGAAAAGAGCTACACAAGACACTTTGTTTCAGTTTGTCCAGGTCTCAAGACGTGTGGTAAAAACATGGAACCTGGAGTCATCTTGGCAAATGCAGCATCAGAGCTTCCCTGATTTCAAAGCCTCTGTTGAGTGTTCTAAGTACTTTCTGTGACATCTCTTACTAGAGGAATTGGCACCAGCTAAGAAAATGTTCAGTTTAATACTTTAGAGCAAATAATTGCCTAGGATGCCTTAAATATCACAGGAAATGTATAGATTGTTTACCTGACATTTGCTCCATTGAACACTAATACTGAAACAGATTCTTCGACCACAGAGAATGCTGGTGTAGGTGGAGTGGGGGTGGACGAGAGAAAGAGGCAGAGAAAAAACAGCCAACATGATTAGATAAAAAATAAATGGCAAATGAGTTTGTTTTTTTTTTTATTTTTTTCACAATATGGAGCTACCAGGAAAATAAATGCCCACTTGTTTGATCCAGTGGTCTTGGACTGTGGTGGCAAAAAGCAAAGGACATAGAACTCTGTTAGGATTAGGTTTCTTCCACAAAAGGTTGCCTTCACCTGGCCGTTGAAAGCCCTATAGCCCCTGGGTGACCTGGTTTATTTTTCAAGATCCTGAAAGCTAGAGGAATAACCTCCCTTAAAAAAAAAAAAAAGAAGAAGAAGAAGAAAGGGGGGAGGGGAAGGGGAGGAGGGAGAAGAGGAAGAGGAAGAAGAAGAGGGGAAATAATTCGTTGTTGTCTGTTTAATCTGCACATGCTTGCGAACTTTTTTCTAAGTGACAGCTCTGGTGCCCTCATTTCTTAATGTAGCTCAGTTTCTTGAGCCCCCCCCCCATGCTTCTTGCACTTGTGTTCTTTTCTCACTTCCCTAGCAATGTTCATGTAGGTCTTATCTTAGAATGGGTTCTGGGCCGGTTTAGTGCAGCTCAGAAGTGCAGAGCATTTTTCCCCCCACAAACTGGATCCAAGGCGCTTTGACTCGGTTGCATTTAATAGGAAAAAGTAGGAGATAGTTTAGGGAACTGAGCCCTTTTCCATTCATAGGTTCGTGTCAGCTCTGCAGCATCTTTAAGGGAATTTTAAATGCATCTGGTAAAAGCCAATTGGCAGGCACACAGGATGGGCTCAGGCATGTGGAATTGTGCAGTGTTAGTGAAATCTGTTAGAAGCTTCCGTCTTTCTGTCTCGTCAAGGGGAGCTACTTTTAAATACTCAAGGGAATTTCGTAAACAATGATCCTAAGTCAAAACTTCCCCCTGCAGGTTAGCCCCTGTGCTACAATGCTCAGCAGAGGAAACGCTGTATTTATGGCTTTTCCACTGATTTGAGATTTGACCTTGAATAAATCATGTTTAACTTCTCGATGCTTCGTTTAACTTTTGAAAGACGTGTGGTTGTGGATGGCCTGTGGGAAGACAGTGACTGAAGCTCACAACAGAAGGGGGACTTCAAGGAAAATTTTATTAGGAACGAGCTGTGGGTATGAAAGCAGTCCTTATGCAGGGGGCTCTTGGTGAACAATCTTGCCATGTGTGGCTCCTAAGGAAGGCAGGGGTTTTCTTGTAACAATCTTACTATATTTTATAGAATTAAAATTTGTATTGTTTTACATTATGTTATTGTTTCCTATGTATATTTATTGGTTTATTCTTTAACTCCAGAAAGCTTTGTGTTCGTACATCTTCTACCTGTACTAGGATTTTTATTTATAATGTTACAATTTAAATTGTAATGAAGCAGTAACAAATTTTGTTTAATATGCAGAGACCTTTAATTTTATTGTGCAGAAGAAAGTCTAAGGCAGTTGTTTAAAAAGTTGCCTAGGAGATGATCTAAGTGGTTTTTCATTTATTTGGAGAGACAGGGTGGAAAGTTGTCAGTATTTATTGAGCACCTACTCTGTGCCAGATACAGTGCTACTATATATGTCCTGTGCGATTTAGGTTTGAAGTATCTT